ACTAAGCCTCATTTTGACCAGTCCACCCCCATACCACAACAGGCACTGTGTCTTATCTCTGCTCAGAAGACAGCAGGTACTCAGTAGTGTTTACTAATATGCTGCTCCTCCCAAATGGTAAGTGGGGACAAAAAAGAGAAAAGTGCAGAAAGCATCTCTCCAGCCCAGTACAGGAAAGGTTGGCTTTTGGGAAACACTGGGCAGAAAATTCTAAGAGTTCTAAGCAATTTCAGAAACTAGGAAACACTCCAACCCTTTGGGAATATCTGTAGAGCCAAATAGCAGAGTTGCCTAGAGCTGAATGGGAAGGTGGGGATAGGAAGACTGAAAATTCGATGAAAGCAAGTGCAAAATCCTGTCAGCCATATGACATTGCCATACTACTGACAATGCCAACCACTAAGCTATCTACAACCATAATTAAGTTACTTGTGACTGAACCCAATTTCCAACAGTTCCAGCAATATTTGCACCTTACTTTAAAAAATGTTGAAACACCAAAGTTACAACTAAACTACAGAACAACCATCATTCAAAACCGCCTGAAATCGAGCTAAATGGAAGTCCTACAACTACGGAATTAAAGAAGCAGCCACACAGAGACTGGTAGGAGGGGGAAGGCGAATGAGCTGGTCCCACATCCACGTGTGGAAGATAAAAATCAAAAGGATACCTCAGCTGGGAAGGTCCTCTCTGAGGACTGAGGGGTCCCTGTCCCACACCAGGCACCCCGCTCAAGGGTTCCAGTGCCAGGAAGAGAAGTCCCCATAACTTCTGGCTGGAAAAACCAGTGGGAGCTGAGGCTCAGGGAGGCTGAGGCGGCTGGAGCCCCCAGCAGCTCCTCTTAAAGGGCCTGTACACGGATTTATCGGACTCACTCCCTCTAAGTTTGGAGGGGAGGCAGCTCCAGGGGCGCCAGAGACATACAGGGAACAACTGAGCTGTTTGGCATTGGAGCAAGGGCCAGGGAGGGGGCTTTCTCCGGGACAAACATGCTGTCAGAGGCCTCTGTTCCTTTGGTGAGCCCTTCCCTGGGGTGGCAGACAGCTGCCATATCTGGGACTTCAGCAACCTGGCGATTCCCTGAGGCCCCGCCCCACCCAACTTTCAGGCCCACCCAAGCTGTTGCCAGTTGTTTAACCATAGGATTGGCCTAGCTTGGATCCTGCTTCAGGTTTTCCTAAACTCTTTCAAACAAGCAGCATCTGATCTCAGCTAGCCCCATACCTCTCATTAAGTAATACATAGAAACAAACACAGGGAGGCAGCCAAAATGAGGAGACAAAGAAACAGGTCCCAAATGAAAGAACAGAAAACATCTCCAGGAAAAGAACTAGGTGAAATGGAGATAAGCAACCTAACAGATGCTGAATTCAAAATACTGCTTATAAGGATGCTCAATGAACTCAGTGAGAACCTCAGTGAACTTAGTGAGAGCCTCAAGAGCATAAAAAAGGACCAGTCAGAAATGAAGGATGCACTAACTGAAATAGAGAATAATTTACACAGCCCTGGCCGGTTTGGCTCAGCGGTTAGAGCGTCGTCTTGTGGTCCAGAGAGACCCGAGTTCAGTTCCCGCTGCGGGCGCATACCTCGGTTTCACTTTGTCCCTGGCCCTGGTTGGTCGTGCGGGTGGCGGCTACTCGATATGTCCCTTTCACATCGATGTTTCTCTCTCTTCCTCTCTCTTTCTCTCTCTCCCTCCCACTCTATCTGAACAAAAAATTGAAAAAGGTCCTCTGGTGAGAATTAAAAAAAAAAAAAGAATAATTTACACAGATTCAATACTAGAGTAGGTGAAGCCAAGAAGCAAACCGTTGATTTGGAATATAAGGAAGCAAAAAATACCCAATCAGAACAGCAAAAAGAAAAAAGAATCCAAAAAATGAGGATAGTGTAAGGAGCCTCTGGGACTTCAAGCATGCCAACATTCGCATCTTGGGGGTGCCAGAAGAAGAGAGAGAACAAGAAATTGAAAACCTGTTTGAAACAATAATGGCAGAAGACTTCCCTAACTTGGTGAAGGAAACAGACATACAAGTCCAGGAAGCACAGACAGTCCCAAGCAAGATGAACTCCAAGAGGCCCACACCAAGACACATCATCATCAAAATGCAAAAGGTTCAAGACAAAGAGAGAATCTTAAAAGCAGCAAGAGAAAAGCAGTTAGTTACTACAAGGGAGTTCCCATAAGACTGTCAGCTGATTTCTCAAAAGAAACCTTGCAGGCCAAAAGGGAGTGGCAAGAAATATTCAGAGTGATGAGAAGCAAGAACCTACAACCAAGATTACTCTATCCTGCAAAGCTGTCATTTAGAATCAATGGCCATATGAAGTTTCCCAGACAAGGAAATGTTAAAGGAGTTCATCACCACCAAACCGTTATTATATGAAATGTTGAAAGGTCTTTTTGAAGAAAAAGATAAAATATATGAACAAACAAAATGGCAATGAATACATATCTATCGACAATAGAATCTACAAACAAAATGAACAGGCAGAACAGAAACATTCTCATAGATACAGAGAACATTTTGTTGGTTGCCAGATGGGAGAGGGGTTGGGAGAATGGGTGAAAAAGGTGAAGGGATTAAGAACAACAAATTGGTTGCTAGACTGACAAACCTCAAAGAGAAAGGGGTTGGGGGATGGGAAGAAATAAACCAAAGGACTTACATGCAGAACCAATGGACACAGACAACAGTGTGGGACAAGGCAGGAGAGGGGTGGGTGTGGGGAGGAGGGGGGGGGTCAATAGGGTAAAAATGAGGAACATCTGTAATACATTCAACAATAAAAAGAAAAAACTAAAACTAAAAAATAAATAAATAAATAAATAATGTTGAATTCAGCCCAGCCAGTATGGCTCAGTGAGTGGATGAGCATCAACCCATGCACCAAGAGGTCACTGGTTCAATTCCGGTCATGGCACATGCCCAGGCTGTGAGCCAAGTCCCCAGTGGGGGGAGGGCAGGAGGCAGCCAAACAATGTTCTCTCTCATCGATGTTTCTCTCTCCCTCTCACTTCCTCTCTCTCTAAAAAAATCAAAAAAATGTTGAACTCATTTCAATAGAAAATATAAGGCAACATTCTAACTTTTTAAAAATTATGTGACAGGCCCTGGCCAGTTTGGCTCAGCGGTTAGAGCGTCACCCTGCGGTCCACAGAGTTCTGGGTTCAGTTCCCGCTAAGGGCATGTACCTTGGCTACACTTTGTCCCCGGCCCTGATTGGGTCAGGTGGGTGGCGGCCACTCGATGTGTCCCTTTCACGTTGATGTTTCTCTCTCGCTCTCTTCCTATCTCTCCCTCCTGCTCTATCTGAATAAAAAAATAGAAAAATGTCCTCGGGTGAGGATAAAAAAATAAATAAAATAAATAAAAAAGAATTATGTGACAGAATGTGACTCAAAGGAGTTATTGAAATACTCTCTGAGTGAGTAGCACTCAGCTGAGACTTAACAGATGAGAAGGAATCAAGCAGGCATGAAGAGCCAGGAGGCAGTGTCCCAGACAGAGGGAACAAGTGAAAAGGTCCTGAGGCAAGAAGGCAGCAGAGAGGCTAGAACAAAATTAACAAAGCAAATAACCTGATGCCAGATATGAAAGGCCAGAATGTGTACACATAATTCATGTTTATCCCTTTACAGGAGAGCCCAGACGGAAGTCTGAGGAAAGTAACCCCAGATTCTCCTAGCAGTAAGGAGAGAAGTTGAGGGGATAGGCAGATAAGGCAACACGAAGACAGTGTGGGCTCCCAGAACTAAATGAGGATGTCAACAAGAAAGGACCGTAGAGGAGGGTGATGGAGAAAACTAGGACAATGACCAATACCTTGGGCATAAGGAAGGGTTGGGGTCAGACAGGCTGAGGCAGAAGCAGGTTCTGCCCCAAGATGTGAGCTAGCCCCAAATTATTTACCCTTACGCTCTTTTCCTGACCTAGATTTCCTCAGTGTGGAGTCTGTGTAGCAAATGATATTGGCCACTGTTCATATGTGACATTCCAGTGACACCTGAGGCTTCCTGAACTGTGGAGCAAAGGTCAGAGAAATTAAAACTACCCACAAGTTCAGCTCCTCCAATCCCAGTGATGACAAGACCCTCAATCAAGCACTAGGGGAAGAGAACTGAGTCTACAGGTATTGCTATGGGATTCCTTCAAGGTCCAGGGGGAGGGGATCAAGTGTAGAGAGTGAATTGGGCTTGGAGATCAGCTAGATTAGTTTAAATTCTGTTTATGCTAAATCATCCACTGTATTAGCTCTGCATAAAGTCACAATAGCCACCTATTTTAAAGAGCCTGTTTTAGAATTAAATCCAGTAAGGCATGTTAAAGTCAGTGCATAACACAAGGCAAAATACCCAATAAAGATCGGGTTCCTGCCCTGGCCGGTTTGTCTCAGCAGTTAGAGCGTTGGCCTGCGGTCCAGTGAGGCCCAAACCGGGTTCGGTTCCTGCTAAAGGCACGTACCTCAGTTGCAGTTTGTCCCCGGCTCTGGTTTGGTCGTGCGGGTGGCAACTACTCGATGTGTCCCTTTCACGTCAATGTTTCCCTCCTCTCCCTCTTCCTCTCCCCCTTCCTCCCACTCTACCTGAACAAAAAATGGAAAAATGTCCTGGGGTGAGGATTAAAAAAAAAAAAAAAAAAGATCCAGTTCCTTCCATTTATCCCACCATTTGAGAGGGTTCAATTCAGACAGCCTGACAGCTCCACTTAACTCTGAGTTTTAGCTTATTAGTCAGTAAAATGGAAACACCACTTACTTCACATGAGTTTTGAAGGACTTAAGTGAGAAGAGTGTAAAGTGTCAAGCACAGCTCCTGACTACACAGTAGCTTCAATAGCCATAACCTGTTATTACTGGTGGGTGTGGCCAAAAGGGAAAGGGGCCAGAAGGGAAAGGGCAAGACTTCAAACCAAACTCAGGTCAGAGCTGCAGCGCAGGCTGGGAGTAGTGGCTTACTTAAGGGTATGCCTGGCCTCTGGGGAACCACTCACCTGGTGGTTCCAGATAGAGCCCTCTTTGCTGCGCTCATCAGGGGTCAGACGCACGTACTGGCTCGTGAGTATAGTGCTGCCTTGGAAGTCCCAGAGGGGCATGGAGCTGGAACCGACCCCTGTGGGCAGAGTGATGGGCACAGACAGATGCGTAAACGGCCATGGAAGGACTGGCCTTGCCAGAGGCAGGAAATCCACAGAGCTGCCCTGCTCGGGAGAAAGGGCACCCTCTTTCCCAACCCTGTACAGCCTCGCCCTTACCTTGCACTCATTTCCCGCCCCAGGCCTCACCTTGGTAGGGCTTGATAAGTGAATGCTCCCGCTTGAGGTGTTCACTGTTTCCGTCAGTTATATCTGCAGCCACCGGCCCCAGCAACAAAAGAATAAGTAGAGGTGTCGTGGGGCCAGGGCCAGGGCCGGGAAGCCCAGGCCTTGCCGGGCATCGCCGACCCCAGCCCCAGCACCGAATCCAACTTTCCGCCGCCATTCTCTGTGCCTCTCCACCACTTCCGTTCGAGGAGTTCCGCTTTCCGGGTGTCCCATCTAATGGCTTCCGGCTGGAAACTTTCCAATCTAGGGTCGCCAGGAGTTAAAAGTAAAGCCTCGCAGCCGAAAGGAAAGCGACTTTATTTACTGAGCAGCCGCCATCCTGATAGAATGCAGTTCCATCGTCTTGGCTCCTCCAACACAGCTGTCGCCCAGCCTCAGCACCGGATTTTCAGGAGCCACAACCAATCATCGAACAGCACGTTAGGACCGTGAGCAGATGTGGAGCAGACGTAGGGCTTGAGTTGGGCAGAACGAGGATCGTCCGCGGAGCGCGGCATTCTGGAAGTTGTAGTTTTGGTGAGCCGCTGGCGCAGTTGGACAAACGAAGATGACAACGCCCTGGGCCTCTGGCCACTAATCCCTTCCCTGGAGTAACCGTTCCATTCCGAGGGTAAAGGACCTCTCATTTGGCCCTGGCCGGTTTGGCTCAGCGGTTGAAACGTCCGTCCGCAAACCGGAGTACCGGGTTTACTCCGGTCAAAGGCATGTACCTCGGTTACGGTTCGGTCCCTGGCCCTGGTTGGGGTCGTGCGGGAGGCAACCACTCGATGGGTCTCTCTCACATCACTGTTTCTGTGTGTGTGTATGTGTGTGTGTTTCCCTCCCACCCTATCTGAAGATAAACAAAACATATATATCCTTGGGTGAGAATTTAAAAAGACAAAAAGGCCCTGGCCGGTTTGGCTCAGCGGTTGGAGCGTGGGCCTGCAGACCAGAGAGTCCTGGGTTCGGTTCCTGCTAGGGGCACGTACCAAAAAATAAAAAAATTTAAAAAATAGCCCTGGCCGGTTTGGCTCAGCGGTTAGAGCATCGGCCTGCGGTCTGGAGAGACCCGGGTTCAGTTCCCGCTAAGGGCATGTACCTCGGTTGCAGTTTGTCCTCGGCCCTGGTTGGGTCGTGCAGGTGGCAACCACTTGATGTGTCCCTTTCACGTCAATGTTTCTCTCTCTCTCTGTTCCTCTCTCTCCCTCCCACTCTATCTGAACAAAGAATGGAAAAATGTCCTCGGGTGAGGATGATAAAAAAAAAAAAAATTTAAAAAATAATAATAATAAATAAAAATTTAAAAAGGACCTCTAATTTGAAGACAGAGGCCAGAATTCCAGCTACTGAGCCACCTGGGACTCCCTGGGTGACCTCAGGTGAGCCTTAGCTGGGTCTGGCTCTACCCTTTCCAGCTTAACGCTTTTGAAGACATCCACTTCTCTCAATTCCTCAGGCCCAGTCGGGTTTAAGCAGGACGGCAGACCTGGGCCGCGCCCCGGGACCCCAGTGATGGCTGGGATGCATCCAGATCCAAACGGTCGTAGTGTCTGCCTGGTGCAGCAAGAAGTGTCCGTGAAAGATGCAGAAAAGTGGGCAGTGGATCAAAGGTCGAAAACTGGTGGCCCACAGCCAAATACAACTCTGTTTTACCTGCTAATGCTATTTCAATAAATGATTTAACTACCGATACATTTAAATCAGAAGTCTTAAATTCACGTTAGAAATCCAAATTTCTGGTTTCTCAGGAAAAATTGGGAGAGCCAACCAATCTTCCAAAGGACTGCCCCCTTACAAATGCCTTCCTAGTCTAAGCTAGTCTACATGCTGGCCACTAATTTACCTCACCTGTCTTGTCCCACCCATTTGAATTGATTATTCCTGTTATAGATCACAATGTGGGACCTTGATTGGTTGCTCCTTTATTTTATTTTAAGAAGCTTCCCTTTTGAATGAATGAACTAATTCAGGAGTAAGTGATGAGAGCTTTTCTGGGTCATGTATTTAACTTTTTTTTTCTTTATTATTTATTGATTTTGAGAGAGAGAGAAACATCAATTTGTTGTTCCACTTAGTTATGCATTCATTGGTTGCCTCTTGTATGTGCCCTGACTGGGGATCAAACCCACAACCTTGCCGTATGGGAACAATGCTCTAATCAACTGAGCTCACCGGCCAGAGCCTGGGTCATGTATTTGTAATGAGGTTTTTTTACTATTTAAGTTACATATTACAGACATGTACAGCAAGAGTCCTCTGCCACTCCTCTCCCAAGGTGTATACCCTTCCAGAGATTTATTTATATCCATAAAAACAAGGATATGTACATTCCACTAGATCTCCATGAGGGTTGGGATTTTTGTCAGCTATGGTCACTACTGAATCCCCAGCATGTAGAACAGTACTTGGCACATAGGAGGTGATCACGAAGAATGAGTAATATACCAGAAAAGGGAAAGGCATCTTCAGCAGAGGAAACAGGAAATGCAAAGGCAGGGAAGGATGCCTGAAAGTATAAGGCGTGCAAGCAGTTTGGAATGGCTGAAGAGTGGTGGGCAAGAGTTTGACTGAGGTCAGAACTCAAAAGGCCTTTAACTCCCAGCTAAGGAACATGACATTTTCCCAGAAGGCAATGGGATGGTTTTAAGCATGGGAGTGACCACTATGGGTTTTTCTTGCTATAGTGAGAAGAGACAGGTAACAGGTAGGGAGATCAAATAGGAGGTCATAGGAGATCAATAGGACCAGATGACAGAAGGCAAGGGCCTGAGCCAAGGAGGTCTACAAAGGAAAAGGGGATCAGAAGTCTCACAGGAAGGCTAGACATCAGTAACTGACCCCCTGTGGGAAGCCAGGGAGAGAGAAGTTGAGAACAGTATTCTGTGGAGTGAAGGTACCCCACCACATCCGTGGTGTGGAGAAAAGTAGATAAGGGCTAAGAGATGGGAAGTCCCAGGTTGTCTGGGGTCCCTGGGGTGAAGATGTGGTCAGAGCTAAAACTGGCATCCATGGTGGAGAGGTAGGGAGAGGTATCTCTCAGTAGCAGGAGAGGATGACCTTAGGAAGGGTTTCTAGGCAGAGCCTGTGATTAGGCCTTTGGGGGAGGAAGATGAACTGTTGGCATGTGGGCTGATGGTGTCCCAAGCTCCACTCCTAGCACTCCAAGCATGCATATTTACAGCTTAGCAGATCTCTAACTTGTTGTTAATTCTCACCAGAGGATATTTTTCCATTGATTTTTAAGGAGAGAGGGAGGGAGGGAGGGAGGGAGAGAGAAACATAATGTGAGAAAGACACATTGATTGGCTGCCTCCTGCATGACCCCAACCACTGCTGGGGATCGAACCTGCAACCCAGGTATGTGCCTTTGACTGGGAATCGAACCTTGACCTTTCAGTGTGAGGGCTGGCGCTCTAACAAATGAGTGACAGCAGCCAGGGCAGCAGATCTCTAATTTGATGTGAAACCTTGGGAAACTCATGTCTCTCTGAGTCTCAGTTCCCTGATCTGTAAAATGGGAATAATGAGAACCACTTACAATGAGGTTGTGAGGATCAAATAAGGTCAGGTTGCGATAAAACCCTATAAATTGTAAAGCCCCCTCTGAAGCCCAGGCCCAGATCCTTGGCACAGCAGACAGGCAGGCAGACTCCACTCACATCACACACTCTATACCCCCCTCACAGGCACATTTACACTATCATGTACCTTATTAAAATCAACATGGACAATACTCCAGGCTCAAAAACAACCCCCCATATTAACACCAAGTCTGAATAAATCCCTTGATCTGGGTAGCCTGGAGTAAGGTGTCTGGAAGGAGGTGAGTCAGAGCTGGATGAATAGGTGATTTAACTTGGATAATGCTAGCTGCTATAACAAATAGACCCTAATGTGTGTAATGGCTTACGTTTATTTCTCATTCATTGTAACAGTCCAAGACTGCTGTTTCTGATTGATGAGTAGCTTGCCTTTGAGCACTAATGCAGAGACCCAGGCTTCTTTATTCTTGTGGCTCCACAATCCCCTAGACTCCTAGAGCCTCATCATCTTCTATATCCAGGCAGCTAAAGGGAAAAGAGAATGTGGAGAGCATATACTACCTCAAAGCCTTGGTCCAGAAAGAGCATACATCATTCCACTAATATTCAATTGGTGGGAGCTAGTCACATGGCCACACCTGACTGCAAGGGAGCCTGGGAAATAAAAGTTTAGCTATGTGCCCAGGAAGAAAAGAACATGAATTTGTGGTGAAGAATTAGTGATTTTCTGCCACCAAAGGTTTGAAGTCACAGCCCTAGAAGGGGGCAGGGTGTAGAGAATAGAATATGGAAAAGGGGGTATCACCTTTTTTCTGTAGAGAGAAATGTCCAAACTGGAGTGATAAGTAACTTAAGGGCTCTAAGTCCATACTTAAAATAGTGGGTACATTCGGCTGCGATTTGTCCCCGGCCTCCAGCACATCCCCGGCCCTGGTTGGGGTTGTGCTGGAGGCAGCCACTCTATGTGTCCCCTTTCACCTAGGTGTTTCTCTCTCTTCCTCTCTCCCTCCCACTCTATCTGAACAAAAATGGAAAAATGTCCTCGGGTAAGGATTTTTTTAAAAAGTGTGTACATGCATGTTTAAGAAAGAGGCAAACTGCCCTGGCCAGTTTGGCTCAGTGGTTACAGCATTGGCCCACAGACCAATGAGTCGTGGGTTCAATTCCAGTGAAGGGTACATACTTTGGTAGCAGTTCCTCCCCAGCCCTGGTCGTGGTCATGCAGGAGGCAGCCAGTCGATGTGTCTCTCTCACATCAATGTTTCTCTCTCCCCTCACCCACCCACCTGCTCCCACTCTGAAGATAAATGGAAAAATATCCTCAGGTGAGGATAGAAAAAAAGAAAGAGGTGAACTGAGGATTCTGGCTAAAGAGCCCAAGTTCATCTGGGACTGGGCCAGGCTGAGAGGACAGGGTGGCACTCTTTAATTGGCAAGGCTATACCAGGTGGCATTTTTATGTGAGCAATGGGAGTGTGAATACATATGTGTCTTTGGGTATAGATGCACCTGATCCATGCCCCTGCCCTGTGTGGGCATACACATGTGCTTGTGTGCAGGTATACCTGTCACATGTACCTATTCACCGGATTGTGCATACATATGACTGAACACCAGGTGGCCCTTATGAGGGAGATACTGTGTGTTTATGACATGTACACTTGAATGGTCTATATGTGCCTGACCATACATGCAAGGTGTCCATCTGTCTGCACACTTGGGTACATGCCTGAGAAGTGTCTGGGGATAGAGTTAGTAACTGCATGGACACAACTGCTGGAGGAGGTGTACTGAGTATACACATGCCCGACATACAGAAGGTGTGAGATAAGTGTGTGCTAAGTAAGGTCCATATGTAGATACGTGCTACACATGTACACATGTCTATGGAAGCCCCTGCCGGTGTGTCCCAAGTTGTCTAGGTGTGTGAGTGTGCACTTCTGTGTGCCCAGACATGACCTCGGGCTCCCTGGGCTGGGCCAGACCAGGCTGAGCTCCTCTCTGGGCACATAGAGGCTTCTGCTGTGTATTGGTGCCTGCGTGGGTTGCTGCAAGGTTGCGTTGGTGGCATGTGTGTGTGTGTGTGCATGAATGTGTCTGTGTATGTGTAGGAAGAGGCCTTCACTCTCTTAGACCTTGCTTTTTTCTGCGGTTCCGTTTCTATAGAGACACTTCCTGTGGCAGAGAAAAGAGGTAGTGAGCTGGTGTTTCAGGATGTGAGGGCCCGCAGGAGTGGAGCTGGGCTCTCCGCCGTGCGCCTGCCACCCTACGAGCTCTGGCCTTCGGCGCTGCCCACAGTCCTCATGGTGGGCGCCCCCCAGGGAGGGCACCGGTGAACAGCAGAGGCATGCCAGGGAAGCCCAAGCACCTGGGCATCCCCAACGGGCGAATGGTGAGTGTAGGCTCCAGGCCAGGCCCATGGGGAGGGGTGGGCACACCCAGGGTGGAGCCCAGGAGCACACTAGGCAGAGCTGGGCAAGAAGAACCTGCGGGCTGCTCATGGGCAGAAGAAATTGGGTACAGACAGCAGTCAGTGGGACCTGGTGCCCTCACCCCAGCACCTTCCAGATTGGCCTGCTGGGGACCTGGGATGACCCCAGGGATCAGACTGGAGCACAGCAGGCATAGGCTTCTGGTTTAGCCCCCACTGCTCCCTCTCCTGCTACCTTGTCACCATCTGGGGCTGCCTGCATGCTAGGCCCTTGCCCCCTGTACACCCCCTTGGTGGCCCAAGCCCCCACATCTCATTTAACCTCAGCCCTCCCTTCCTTGTTCTGAAGCCCATGGTCAAGTAAGGGGCAGCCCTCACTGGGTCACTGCCCTGCAGCTCGTCCTGCTCCAGGCTTCCTGCCAGAACTGGCAGTCCTTGGGCAGCCTGGGATGGGTCAGCAGGGTCAGGCCAGGTTTGTGCAGCTTGTCTGTTCTATTCCAGGGCTACCAGGAAGGGTAAAGGTAGCTGGGCTCTAAGATGCCACTGGCTGCTGCTGATGCCCCACCTCCTAAACACTCTCCCTGCTGCTTGGCTTCTGGGTTAGAGCTACCCTTGGAAGGTATGGCTGCTTTATTCATGCAGCAGATGGGGCAGGCTGTGCTGGGCCTCTCTTATATCTCCAGAATAAGATGAGGCAGGTCCCTAGTCCTCCTAACAATCCCAGAAAGGCCAGACTGTGTCCTAGCCTCCCACCATGCCCCAGCCTAGTGTTGTGGGACAAAACCAATGGGTCTGGGGAGACCTGGGTTTCAGTCTTGGCTCTGTTCTCCCTTACCAGGGGGGGTCCTCTCAGACCCTCAGTTTCTTCATCTGTAAAATGAGGAGAATAGAACAGATCTCAAAGGCTCCATTTTTAAACCCCCCCCCTTCATTATCAGCCCCTCTTCAAGGATTCCCTGCCTCACCAAGAAACTGATCCACCCCCAACCCCACTCCTGCCCCCTAATTCTCAAGATCTCTCTCCATCTCTCCTTCCAGCATCTCTTTATTGCCCAGGCCCAGGCTAGCTGTGTGGGAGAGAGGCAGACTCCTTCAAGTTAGCCTAGTTGCCCACCTTACTGTTTCTATCATCAACCTAACTGAAAGTTCAAAAACCTATGGGCCTCACACCTCTACCCTGGAGGCATGACACTTGGGTGCCCAGGCCAAGGGGGAACATGCCCACTCCCATGCTCACCCCAAACAGCAGCTGAGGGGCCAGGAGACAGGCTCTGCCTCTGCCCTTCCCTCATCGACAATGTTATTTCTTTCCAACATCATTGAGAGCAAAGAGGGCACCCAAGCTATGCACCCAGCCCCAGCAAGCCCACGGGCTTTCCTCTCAGCAACCTGCACACACAGGTTTATCTTTGCCCTTCCTAGGCCTGTTCTCAATGTTCTGTGCCACCTTTGGATCCCAAAGGCCACATATTGGCCACTTGCTGGTCATCAGGAGCTTTCTGAGGCCATGCTCAGCTGAAACAGGTAGAGACAGACAGGCACTGGCATCTGTAGCAGGGATGGACACAGAGAGGCACCTGTGAGCTAGGTGTCTGCTCCTTCCATGAACTACCTCCCAATAAAGGGTCAGAGGAATAAATGACTTTCTGAGGGCAGCCGGTGGATAGAGGGGCCTGCATTTGAACCCAGCTAGTCTGACTCAATGCCAGGGCTCCTCCACCTCCCCAAACTGCCTGGCTCTGTCCTCCTCCACCTTCCCCTAGCTGTCACCCCATCATTCCCTGCAGAAGCAGTTTTATTTGTCAGCCTTGTCTTTCTGCCACTCAGCATGCCAGGCAGTTGCAATGAAACCTGTCACTTGCAGATGACCCCCCAGCCCTCCTCCCAGAGATGTCTTCACACAGCTCCAACTGCCACTTCATTTGTTCACTCATTCATTCATTCAACAACCCCTCCTTAGGGCCTGCTCTATGCCAGCCCTGTCCCAAGCACTCAAGACCCAAGCCCATCATCCTGTCCCCTGCCCTCAAGCAACTCCCAGTCTGGCAAGACACAAAAGACATGGGCACAAATACCAGAATAAAATTAAGGTTGGGTAAGAGTCACTGGTCAGGGATAGAGAAAGCGTAAGTGGGGCCTGGGAAGGAAGAACTAATCTCTTCTCTCACTTGGCACACTGGGGCATGGAAGATACCCTAAAAGTGTCTGGAGGAGGGCATGGCATGGGGAAAGGCCCAGAGGTGGGGAACACGGGGGATGGGCAACGATTGTGTTCTGTCAGTCTCCGAAAGCCTGGTTAATCTTCCACACCCTACAGGGAGACCTGCAGGGCAGAGCCCACTGTACCTCTGCGCCATCTCTCAGGGCCAGGTCTGAGGGCCAGGTGGCCGCACAGAGGGGCCAAGTCTGGGCTCAGCTCCACAGGGCTGGTTCAGGCTGAAGGGCTAGGCTCCTAGTGCTCTCTGTGGGTATCTCTGGGCTTCAGTGTCCCAGACTAGAATGAAATGAGACAATGGTACAGAGTGTCCAGCACAGAAGACACTCAGTAAATTGGCCCTCCCTTTGAGATCTGACCCCTCCAGGGTCCAATGGCTGAGATTCTTTTCCCTGGGATGTCTCCTTTCCACCGTGGAAAGCAGCTTAGTGGGGGGAAGACCTCAGGCTCCAGAGTCAGGCATACTTGGGTTCCACTTTCAGCTCGGCCACTTTGCAGCTGTGTGACTTCTTTGGGCCTAGGTTTCTCACCTGGGAGACGGGAGTAATAATAGCTGCCACACAGCATCAGGATGTGAGGATGGAATGAGAAAGAGGACATATACTGTCAGAGAGTGCCTGTCACACAATTGGAGCCCAGGAAATGCTGGGCCACCCGCACCTTAGTATTCTCAGATACCAGCAGCTCTCCCAGGGCCTATTTCCTAAGAAAAAGTACGGCAAACTGTGGCCCGACCATGGGTTGGAGATGCCACTGACCACCACACCCTTCCTCATCCTCTCTTCCCCTTTTCTCCCCATTTACTCACCACTTCTCCTCAAGCAGATGAGTGGGGCAAGGCCAGCCCAGCTCAGCAGCATTTCCCCAGGCCTGGGAGCCTGGGCAGGTCGGAGCCCAGCCAGTGGCATCAGCATGAGGTCAGCAGAGCCTCTGACCACTGCAATGCTGGCTACTTTCACATATGGGCCTTGTCTGCCCATCACAGCAGCCCCAGCAGTTTGGGAATGCTGAGACACATGCTACCCAGGGGGAAACTGAGGCCCAGAGAAGGGAAATTACTTACTTCAAAATTGTGTAACTGGAACTGGAGTCTATCTCTGCCCCCTCCCACCTCTGGATCTCAGTCCCTATCTTGTCTCAATTTCAACTACGCAGATCGACAACCAGCGGGCAAGAAGAGCTCAGGAAGGTGAACTGCAGGCTGCAGAGATGGGGTATTCAGAGGTGGAGCATCCCTGGTGGGGAAAGGGCTGCAAGGCCACCTTGGAGAGCAGAGGAGGGTTGCCCAGGGCCCTGATGGCTGCTTGGGAGCACTGGGGCAAGGAGAGGGTGCTGCATGGAATGAAGTTCGGGTTGTTTCCCTCCTACAACCCAGGCCTGCCTCCAGGAGCTACCAGACTGATAAGGGAGACAAGCCCAGATATGGCTGCGTAGAAGCTTGGTGGGCAGGGGGATTTGGGCAGCTGGTATTTAGGGAAGACTGATGGGCAGAGATTGGAGAGCCGTTGGGTAGGGAAGCCGGAGCAGATAACAGGCAGATGAAACAGCAAAGCAGGAAGCAGGAGTGTGTAGGGGTGAGGGGAAAACAGAAAAGTTTGATAAAGTGTAGGTTGGGGGGGAGGGGGAGGGAAAGAAGGGAGCTGAAGGGGTTCATTAGTCAGACCTAGGTAGAGCTTCAGCTATAACTCAGCACCTGCTCAGCCTCCCAGGGCAGGGAGTGGGACCTGGGGAGGATCTGGAATCTGGCCCCACCTAAAGACACAGAAAGTGTCAATTTGACCGGATGCAAAGAATAAAATAAATAGGAGTGAGGGCTGGCTCTAGTGGAGGAACCTTTGCCATCTCTGAGGTCCTAGCCTGCTCCAACAGCTATGGGGGCTCTACCCAGGTTGGAGGACAGGTCAGAGAGACGCCAGGTGGGCATAGGAGGAGGCAGGACCAAGTGGTATCCTCAAAGGGGGGGCGGTCAGGATGGTTCCCAGAGACCTGGAGAGAGGGCTCTGGCAGTGGCAATGAGGCTAGGAACGACTGCAGAACAGCCTGGGCAGGCAGGTGCCAGGAAGGAGAAGAGCAGGGTGGAAGGGACTTGTCCTCACACATCTCAGGAGTTGGGACTTTGTCCTGCAGCTGTGGGAGATGACTCAGATGAAACTGTTGGATGGGGGAAAGCAAAGGCAGGAGAGTGAGAGCTGGGTGGGCTGGGGCGAAGTGTGCTGGGAACCGATTCCAGGCCCAGCCATGCCCTGCAAAACATTCCCTCCTCAGCAACGTCTTCTCCCAGTGCTCCAGGTGGGAAAGAAGACCCAGGGAGGAGACCACGGCTATGAAACTAGAAAAGGGCAGGGCTGGGATTTGAAATCCAGTCTGACAGACCCTGACACCTGTGCTCTCTCCTCTGTGGCAGGGCTCACTAACTGAAAAGTGGGAGCAGGGTCAGACACCAATATTAATACAACAGTAATATTGTTGTTGAGTATTTACACATGCCAGATAATATCCCGAGTTCTTTTTTTTTATCCTCACCCGAGGACATTTTTCCATTTTTGTTCAGATAGAGTGGGAGGGAGAGAGAGGAAGAGAGAAAGAGAGAGAAACATCGACGTGAAAGGGACACATCGAGTGGCTGCCTCCCGCACAACCCCAACCGGGGCCGGGGACAAACTGCAACCGAGGTATATGCCCTTTGCGGCATATATCTCTCTGGACCGTGGGCCAACACTCCAATCGCTGAGCCAAACTGGCCAGGGCTAAAACTCCTGATTTTTAAATGTGGGAAACCTCTTCAAATTTAAAAATAAATGTTCTAAGGGACAAGATATTAGTAATGTTCTATATATCTGCAGGACAGCTCCAGGCCACCTGTGTGTGACCTGAGCACCCCAGGTAGAAGTGGGGAGCAGAGAGGGAGGCTGCCGCCAGGATAGGGAGAGGCTTCCTAGGGGTAGGGATGTTTTCAGACCTGTTTCCAGTGGGGATGGAAAGAAGGGACTGGTGGTGGAAGTTCCCATTTCAGGGCCTAGTGAAAATGTAGGAGGTGAGAGGGAGGAGGAATTGAGGATGACCCAAGCCCTGGTGTTGGGAAGAAAGACAGGATGGAGGGAAGCTAGTTGGGTGCCCTGCGGTAGTGGTGGCAGAGGTGGCTTCCATTTGGGACTGGATGAGTTTGAAGGGTGTGTGGGACATTTGGGTGGAGATGTTAGCAGGAAGTTGGCATATGTGTTTGGAGCTGGGAAGACGTGGGTGGGAGAAAGGGCCCAGGACATAGTCAGGTAGGGGTAGATGCTACCTTGTGTGGGTAGGAGATGACGAGGAAGCTGGAGGAACTGCTAGGAAGGTAGGAAGACCAAGCAAGAGTCATTTTGAAAGGAGGGTTTTTCTGTTTCACTAATGGTTGGGATTCCCAGAGAAGTCAGAGTTGTATGTAGAGGGGAGGAAGGAGGATGGAGTTGGCCACTTACAGTGTGGTCTGCGAACCAGCAGTATCAGCATCACCCAGGAGCTTGTTAGTGATGGAGAGTCTCAGGTCCAATCCTAGACCTACTGAACTGGCATCACTGGAGGTGACCCCTTTCAGTCTTCCTAATGCACGCTAAACTTTGAGAACCACTGCTCTATACTATAATAGAATCCTGTGCTCTGCCCAAGGGCGATGGGACCCAAGGGAGATCATAGACCCCAAAAGGAAACAGTTGCCATAAGGAGATCATCAGCTACAGAGGGAAAGACAATAGCAAACATTGATATAGCACTTACCACATGCTGGCCACTGTTCCAGATGCTGCAAATACTTTAAACTGATTTGGTCTTCACAACAGCCCCAGGAAGTAAGTTATTATTATTATCATCATCCCCTATTAACAGATGAAGACAAACAAGTAACTTGACCAATGTCATACAACTAGTAACTGGCAGAGAGAGAATTCAAAGTTCGTGCTCCTACTCTCCATGTTATATACCTGGGCTTACCCAGCAGGCATTGGAGAAGGGAGCCACGGGTGACTGGAGGATACCAGGCATAAGTTCCAGCACAGAGGGGTTGGCACATGATGGAAGGGGAGCTGGGGACAGCCTACACAAAACCTTGAATAAGCTGTGGCCTGGCTGGGAATGCCCAGCATGGCCCTCTAGGCAGAGGAGACCACAGATCCAGTCTTGGGGGTTGGGCCCAGAACTGTGCCCTTCGAGAATCCATCTTGGGCTCTACTCTGATTTTTTACCTCGTATCTCTTGTAGGTTTTGGCTGTCTCAGATGGAGGTAAGTGACAAGGCATGTGGAGGAAGCCTGGCTGGGGGTGTGGTGTGGTGTATGTGAAAATAGGGTGGGGGCCCTGGCCGGTTTTGCTCAGTGGTTAGAGCATCGGCCTGCAGTCCATAGAGACCTGGGTTCGGTTCCCGCTAAGGGCACATACCTTGGTTGCGGTTTGTCCCCGGCCCTGGTTGGGTCATGCGGGTGGCAACCATTTGTTGTGTCCCTTTCACATCGATGTTTCTCTCTCTCTCCCTCCCACTCTATCTGAACAAAATATGCAAAGGTGTCCTCAGGTGAGAATAAAAAAAAAGAAGAAGAAAATAGGGTGGGGATACCCCTGCAAGTTGCTATCTTTTCCAGGGAAGTATCTGTAGATGGGGTGGACTAAGGGATGGGGAAGGCCTCTTGGGTCACTTCCACTTGTCTATCCCCCTGCAGAGCTGAGCAGCACAGCAGGACCTCAGGACCAGGGCAAGGGTCGAGGCAGTTCCCTCAGCATCCACAGCCTCCCCAGTGGCCCCAGCAGCCCCTTCCCCACTGAGGAGCAGCCTGTGGCCAGCTGGGGCCTGTCCTTCGAGCGGCTGTTGCAGGACACACTGGGCCTGGCTTACTTCACTGTAAGCCCTGGGGGCGGGGAGGGCGGATGACAGGTGGGGTTGGGGGCATGGATAGAAATTAAGGCTGGCCAATGGGACTCCTCTGTCATCTGCCTTTTCCACAGTTTTTCTTTGCACCCTTTTCCTCTTCTCCCAGCAGGAAACTTTGCTTCTCTCTGCCTCCCATTTTCCCATTTTCTCTCTGTGCCTCTGGATCTGGCCCCCTCTGTTTCACTGGCACTATCTGTCTGGCTTGGCTTCTTAACCCTATCCCAGTCTCTGGACCACATCCCCTGACTGCAGTCTCTGACTCTTGACTGCCTTCCCCTTCTCTAACCCACCCCAGGAGTTCCTGAAGAAGGAGTTCAGTGCTGAGAACGTGACTTTCTGGAAGGCCTGCGAGCGCTTCCAGCAGATCCCTGCCAGCGACACCCAGCAGGTCAGGGGAAGGGGGAGCTGAGGCAGAGAGGTGGGACCCAGAGCCTGGGCAGTGCCCCTGACCTTCTCCTGTCCCTCCTGCCCCAGCTAGCTCAGGAGGCCCGCAACATCTACCAGGAGTTCCTATCCAGCCAGGCCCTGAGCCCCGTGAACATCGACCGGCAGGCCTGGCTGGGTGAGGAGGTGCTGGCCGAGCCCCGACCCGACATGTTTCGAGCACAGCAGCTTCAGGTGAGAAGGCTTGGCCTTGGAAGGGAACCTCGAAGGAGCAGAGGTGGGGCTAGATCCAGGGGCGGAGCTTGAGTGGCGCAGGGAAGGGGAAGAAGGGTGGGGAAGGGCAGATTTGATTGTGGGCCAAAGACAAATGAGGGGGCGGGGTGCTGTTCAGAGGTAGGTACCAAAGTCTACAGTGAAGGAGGGGCCAGGAGCGGGACCTATCAAAGGTAGGGACGGAGCCTAGAGAGCTGTGACCTGAGGCAATAGTAGGGGCGGGACCTGGACCTTCGAGGTAGCTAGGAAGGGCTAGGGGCTCCCTCCCTAGATTAGGGACCAGGCCAACTCCGGGGACTCGGCCTGGGACTCCAGCTCACCGTCGCGCGTCTGCCCGGTAGATCTTCAACTTGATGAAGTTTGACAGCTATGCGCGCTTCGTGAAGTCGCCACTGTACCGCGAGTGCCTGCTGGCAGAAGCTGAGGGGCGCCCCCTACCGGACCCTGGCTCCTTGGGCCTCGGCAGCCCCGATGCCACAAGGAAGGTGCGGACAAGGGGCTAGTGGGGATGGGGGGCGGGGCCTGGTGCCAATCTGCGGGATTGCAAGGTCTGCATGGGGTCTAGGGCCCAGCCCAGTGCCAGCGTCTTTTCTGTACCCGCAGAAGCCGAAGCTGAAGTCCGGGAAGTCGCTGCCGCTGGGTGTGGAGGAGTTGGGGCAGCTGCCACCCTCTGAGGGCCCTGGGGGCCGCCCGCTCCGCAAGTCCTTCCGCAGGGGTGAGGGCAGGAGCGGGACTCAGAGAAGGGTGGGGCGGAAGTTTAGGCAAGCCTTGAGAACAACCCCTTCCTCATACTTGTCCCACAGTCTACATTTGTGAAAACCGAAATAAATGCAGGTCCCTGTGGCCACCACCTTCCCCGGCGGTTGGGTTTCCAGGCTAGACCCCAGAAGTTTGTGAAGCTCCCTTAGGAGCGATGCTTGCAGGAATCCAAACCACGTTAGACCCATGTAAGAGAGTTCCAACGGGGTCCACTGGCTGGGGAGAGGTCTCAGCCGAGGGGTGAGGGGGGTGTTGCACTGCTCATTGCTCCCTCTCCCCTAGAACTGGCAGGCACAGGGGCAAATTTGGCCTTGCGAAGAGAGTCCCAGGGCTCCCTCAACTCCTCAACCAGTCTGGACCTTGGCTTCCTTGCCTTTGTCAGCAGCAAATCAGAGGTGAGCCTACTGCTAGGGGAAACTAAGTGTGGGCAAGGGCCACTACTCAGGTTCTTTGGTGTGGCCGCCATCATTTCCAGTCACCATTCCTACTTCCATCTATCCCTCTTGCTCCCCACAGCCAATCCCTCCATCTTCTTACTTTCTACCTGTCCTCACCACATTGGGCCCCATGCATATCATGGGTGTACATCCTCTTTAGCCAATGTGTGTGCACACGTGTACACAGTGTGTGTGGGGCCAGTGAGTTGAGCATACATGTGTTCCTGTAAGAGGACAGGTGTGCTCTTGGGCATGTGTGGATGCGTGCACGTGTGCCCCAGTGAGCTTACCTGTCTGTGTACCTGTCTGCATGTTCCTGAATGTATACAGATGGCCTCCCCACGACTCTTGCCCTAAATTAGAGCCATCGCAAGAGCCTTGGGAGCTCAGAAGGTGAGAGTGAAAGCCGACCAGGGAAGTACTGCTGTGTGTACCTGCCCGATGGCACAGCCTCCTTGGCCCTGGCCCGACCTGGCCTCACCATTCGTGCCATGCTGGCAGGCATCTGTGAGAAACGAGGTCTCTCTCTTCCTGACATCAAGGTCTACCTAGTGGGAAACGAGCAGGTGCGAACCTGGCCTGGTCCCCAACTCTAACTCCCTTCCTGATCCTGATCCCAACCCCATTCCCATCTCTGCTCAGCTATGACTTCAACCCCAATTCCATTCCTAATCTCCTGGACCAACCCTAATTGCATCCCATCCCTTATCCTCACCCCCTTCCTAACTCCAGCCTCTCTCCACTCTGCTGCTCTCCCCATGCCCAACTCTAAATCAACCCAGCACCAACTCCTTACTTAAACTCAGATATCCACTCTCAACCTTCAAAAATCCTAGCCCTACCCCACCCCACTCCACCCTGGTTTCCAGTTTCACCCATCATCCTCACTCTTTTGGGATGTAGAGTAGGGAGAACCCCTACTGGAGGTAGGTTTTCCCCCAGCACAGCTAATTCAGGCTGTCCATCCCTAAAATGACCATTTGGGGGAGCCCTCGCCTCCTCTGCCACCAGAAGCAACCAGCTGCACCTAACCCAGCGGTTCTCAACCTGGGTCAAACGACCCTTTCACAGGGGTTGCCTAACACATAACAGTAGCAAAATTACAATTATGAAATAGCAACAAAAATAATTTTATGGTTGGGGGTCACCACAACATGAGGAACTGTATTAAAGGGTTGCGGCATTAGGAAGGTTGAAAACCACTGAAAATTTTCCTTTAAGTGCAAACTAGCATAGCTTTAAAGAGGAATCTAGGGGGAAACTTCAAACTAACTATCCAGTAAGGGAGATCTAAAGGGAGAATGTTGCATCCCAGAAGACATGTCAGGATTTTATTCACCTAGCAGACAAATCCTAAGGCCATGCCAGATGGGTGGGCAAAGGGACCTGGGCCTAAGGTCTGTCTTCCAGGTCCACTGGCTGGAGGTGAGCAGGCAGGCAGTGATCAGGGAGGAGGAGTAGAGTCTCCAGAGGGTTTCTGGAGTGAGGTAGGCATTTCTGATTGGTCCCAGGAAGGCTTCCTGGAAGAGGCAGCAGTTGTGAATGAGGAGGGGCTGTGGGGGGAGAGAAGGCCTGGAAAATGGATAAGAAGTTCAAGGCGTGTTCAGAAGCCCAGAGCGTGGGAGTGTGAAGAGCTCTGCCCATTCTCTCAAGCCTCCAGAGCAGCCTTCACAGCCCAGATGGACTTTCATGTCTGCTAAATATAACTTTACCACCCACACTCCACCTGTCCCAGCAGCACAGCACTGGCATATGGTGGGGGAGATGCTGCCTCCCTGCCCCGGATTGGTGCAGGTAGCAGAGCCTCTGGGAGCAGTAATTACTACAGCTACTGTTTATGTACCTACTTTGTGCCAGGCACTGTGCCAGACACCACATCCTCCAGTCCTCACATTGAACTTGCTTTTTTGCAGTGAGGAGACAAGAAGTGTCCTTAGTAGGTGGGGATGGAGAGAAGTGGACAAATGTCCCAAAAGAGACAAGGCGGGTGGTTGCACAAAGGTTGATGGTGAGGAAGGAAATGCGCCCAGCTGGTCTGGAAGGGTTTCACATGTCTGAAGGGTCAGCTGTCCAGTAGGCAGATCCTGTCCTGGCCCAGGAAGAGGTACCCTATGATACGGGACCTAAGTCTACCCCTTACCCAAGCAACCCCATTACCATTTCGTGCCTACCACACCCCCATGTGTCCCATAACTCCCTTCCTTTTGCAAGTCTATCCAGCATCCTTGCCACCCTTCTCCCAGGCTCCACCTCCAGCCAGGTCTCTAACGCATCCATGTCTGCACCTCTACCGCTCACCCGCCCATCTGCCCTTCCCTCCGAACTAAAGAAGTGAAGGTGGTTCCCTCAGACAGCAGGGATAGCTATGAGTGGGGGGAGGGACTCAGACTCTGCCTGGCGTCTGCAGAAGGCCCTGGTCCTGGATCAGGACTGCACCGTGCTGGCGGACCAGGAAGTGAGACTGGAAAACAGAATCACCTTCGAGTGAGTGCCCCTCTCCCAAGGCTTAGGTCCGGGTCTGTGTTCAAGCTACAGTCTTTCCCTGCAGGTCCCGCCCCTTGTGCTAACTCCTCCCCTTGGACTAACTCCCCACCCCCAAGCTGGTCCTTCTCCCCGGTTCAGGCTCCACCTCCTCCTGGGGCTGGCTAGTGTGGGTTGGGAGGAAAGGCGGGGCCGCCTCTCCGCCCTTTCGCAGCCCGAGGGTCCCGTGCAGGCTCGAGTTGGCTGCGCTGCAGCGCGTGGTGCGTATCTCCGCCAAGCCCACCAAGAGGCTGCAGGACACGCTGCAGCCTATCCTAGGGAAGCACCACCTGAGCCCACAACAGGTTGAGCTGCGCCGGGTGAGCCTCGGGGCCACGGGGTTAGGGTAGGGGCGGGGCGGCGGGAAGCGAGCTGCCTGTCCTGCAGGCTGCTGACCTGACCCCTCAGCCAGGCGAGAAGCAGCCGCTGGATCTGGGGAAGCTAGTGAGCTCGGTGGCGGCCCAGAGACTGGTTTTGGATATTCTCCCAGGTAGGGGATGTTGGCCCGGGGTGTGGTCCCCGGGCCAGTTCCGACCCAGGAGTAAGGGGGGCCAGGTAGGAGGCAAACACTAAAGGTGGCGCTCTCTGCCACAGGTGCGGAGATTTCCGAAGCTGGCAACACATCACCCTGCCTTAGCCTGGTGAGCGAGAGGCGGGGAGCCCCCCAGCCCTCTTTTGCCCCCCACACCTCCCCTCCTGCTAGTGGCTCTGACCCCACGTTCTTGCAGTGTGCCCCACCTGGAACCCAGGACAAGGCCACCTATCCTTCTCCACTACCACTCAACTCCCTGGCTGAGGCGCCCAGTAATGCCACTGGGAAACGACAGACCTGTGACATTGAAGGTACATTGGGGACGGTGGGGCCTAGGGACCAGAGGAGTTGGGACCATTGAGTAACATCAGGGGACTGGACATCATTGGAACTGGACAAGGAGTGCTGGGGGCCACTGGGGTTAGAGGACCAGCAGGGCTGGGATAGGGGGTAGGAGAGGGCATTGGTGCAGGGCTCAGGGAGGCTGTGGCCACAATATGGGCAGCAGGACTGTGGTGGAATCGCATGTGCAGGTCTATGAGGGTGGACCTCCTGACTCTGTGGCCACCCCCAGGTCTGGTGGAGCTGCTGAACCGGGTGCAAAGCAGTGGGGCCCATGACCAAAGGGGCCTTCTGCGCAAAGAGGACCTGGTGCTTCCAGAATTTCTGCAGCTGCCTGCCCAAAGGCCCAACTCCCAGGAGAACCCACCACAGACTGAATCATCAGCCCAGCCCAAGGGTGTTTCCTTGGACTCCACTGCCCACTCTGCCCTTTGACAGCTGCCCAACAGTCCGGGCTGGCTACATGGCACCTAGCGGGCCAAGCATGCCATGGTCCTGCTCTGCATGCCCTGTCTGTGCTGTGAGTGTCCCTGACCCTTTCCTGACATGAGCAGGCATGAAGGAAGAGACAGGAGAGGGTGGAGAGGGGCTCAGAGTAGCCATACACCACAGCTGCCACCACTTGGTCCCTCATAGACTTGCCCACCCATCCCTTGTAGCCAGGCCACTGCCGGGAGGTAGGGCTCCCCTCTTTCTTTCTTCCCACCCCCGTGCAGGCATGTTAACAGTGTGAGCCTCCACACCCTGTGCCAAGCTTCATCAGGGAGCAGGAGGAGGGGCAGGCCCCTCCTCAGGGAGCTGATATGAGGAAGGCCTGGGAGGTATAGGTGGGCAGCCCCTCCCTCTACCCACTGGACTCTACTGGACATACGGATTTTACATTTGGCTTGGGGCAGCTGGGTTTGTCCTGGATGTATAATATTGTTATAATAATAATTATTCTGCCTTGAGGTGTTTCCTTGTGTACCCTGTATACCCCCCAATACGTACACCACACTGCATCCGTCATCAAGGTTACAGTGCCCAGAAGCTCCTGGGGACCTTAGGATGTGCCCCCTGACTTCCTGATATCAGAACTTCTCTTCCTGGCTGCACAGAATATGGGGGGGCGGGGGATGAGAACACACAAGAGGGAGGGAGGGGAAGGAGAAGACCCCTCTGGGGAGCTGTGCTTTTGCTGATGCTGTCCTACTATTCCTTAGTTTTAGATCTGAGTACAGTTTCTAGTTGCTCTCTGCTTCTTTAGGGGACTGTGTCCCTGCAGACATGGCTGTGGTTTCTTTGAATGCATTGAAGGCCCTATAGGGGATACTGGGTATAGTTGCAGGGGCAGGTACTGCCCTTATTTACTTTGACTAGGTGGTCTTCCCTGACCCCAAGCAGCCAGGGAAACCCCACACAGGGAAGGGAAGCAGGGAAGACCTCCCAGAAGGAAGGCCCCAGCTTGTAGGCAGAGAAGCCAGACACAGTCCTGGTTCTGTGACAGAGGAAGCAGGGGGACAGAGGAAGCAGGGGGACACAAGAAGGTGTGGGGGAGTGAGGGGCCCTGCTGACCACCTCAACAGGTTGAACTCTATCCCCACTCCAGATCTTTACACTTGCTGCCCTCTCTGCCAGGAGCTCTAGCACCACCACGCCACACCCCCCCCCCCCTCATGTAACTGGAAGAGATGGGGAGGGGCGCACATTGCTGACCCACTGTGCTTTTCTCTAGAAGTCAAAGCCAAGCCTTCCTGTTTAGGGGGCTTCAGTACTCTGCGCCCTCAGTCCATGTTGTTTGGCTGTATTGATCCCTAGCTGCTGGCATGAGCTCATGACCCAGGCTTGGCCAATTAGTTTAGTTCAGGTATGATCCTCTCACCCAGTCAGAATACCAATCCTTGTCATCTTCTAACATCTCCTGGGGATTTTCAGAAAGGACCTGCAGGGAGAGAGCCTGCTTGGGAGTGAAGGCAACAGAGGAGAGTAGAACTGAGAGATGGAAGGAGATTCCTGACAAAATTATCTAAACGCCTAAATTCATGCATGCCTGAAGTTAGCTACTTCTAGACTTCCTCCTTGGGCAAGCCCATGCACTCTTTCAATGTGTGTATACTTGTCATTCTGCATGGGGTTGCTAAGGTCTGCAACCACCAAGTCCTGCTTCACTGACGATCTTGTCTTAAACACTTCAGAGGAGCCTTCCCCGGTTGCCTCGTTCTGTGGTCTAAATGTGTGCGTGTCCCCCCATTCATATGTTCAAATCCCAACCACCTCAGTGTGGTGGTACTTGGAGGTGGGGCCTTGGGAGGTGATTAATATGAGAGTGGATCAGTGCCCTTATAAGAGAACTCAGAGAGCTGCTTCACCCCTCCCACCATGTGAGGGACACATTGTGAAGACAACTGTCTGCAACCTGAAGAGAGCTTTCACCAGACCCCACCATGCTGGCACTCTGATCTCAGAATTCCAGCCTCTAGAACTATGAGAAATACATGTCTGTTGTTTATAAGCCACCCAGTCTCTGGTGTATTTGTTCTAGCAGACTAAATGGACAAAGGCATCATTTACTAAGTGCTCCCCAATTTTATTATCTACCATTCTACCCAGTTTTTTTCCTTCACAGCACTCAGCCCACTCTGTAACAATCTTATTTATTCTCATTTGCTGACAGTATGATGTAGGTCTCTCATCATATGCAGGGCCCTCATCCCTCTTAGTCACCTCTGTATCCCATTGGCCTAGTGGGCTGAAAAATGATGCCACAACCTCAGATAGCCCCAACTAAAGATGCAGGGGCAACAGGGCAGTGGGGGTCTTGGGCAGAGGACCGCCTAGCACCAGGGTCACCGTCTGTGGCCAGAGATGTGGGTAGGGAGACAACCCATGTTCCTTCCCTGATCAGCTACAGAACCCCTCATACTTTCTGAGCCCTGGGGCTTCTCCCTGTGGCAGAAGACACCTTTCCATGCCCCAGGATAGAGAGGTGGGGACACCAGGTAAGAGATGGGGTATCTTCTCAAAGTTGGCAGATCCCGCAGGCCAGTCCACCCTTCTGCCATTGATAATGCCTGTCAAACTTAGGAACCAAAGAGATTGCCTCATGAGAAAGCGGGTCATGAATCAGGTGGATGAGCTCCCCTAAAAACTGGCCCCTGCAGGGGAGAAATTTACATCTACCAAGGTCCCGGGGTTAGGCACATTCCATCCTTCATCTCATTTTTGTCCTCATAACAAAACAGCTCAGTGAATATGAAACCACTGCTGCAGGAGGGAAAGCAATCAGCCCAGGATTCTGCAAGGAGCTTGCCCAGCCAGCACTCAGGGACACACCCCAGGGAGGCCTGGATGCTGTAGAAACCCCTGATGGGGAGCCAGGGCCCTTTCATGGAGGGGATATTGACATGGCTACTCTGGGGGGCAGTTTGGAAGTTTCTACTAAAAATTAAAAACATGCTTTGTATGACCCCAGAAGTACCACTAGAGAGTCACTTACTCCTGGGCACAAGGAAGCCCATCCCTGCAGGGTTGTTTATGACCTAAAAACTGGCAAACAGCCAAATGTGGATGGGGAAGGGGTGGGGTAACAATACTTGATGGTGTCTCCATGCTCTGCAATGCCACAGCAGGTAAGGAACTGGATACAGTGTGTCCTGATGTAGAAAGTTCTCCAAGATGTGTTATTATTCAGTTAAAAAAAAAAAAAGGAGCAATGCATATATCATGAGACCTTTATATAAACCACAAACACACAGGTACTTGTAAATGTACAGAAAGGACAGAGAATGTTCTAGAAGGATATATACCAAACTGACAGGGAGACGAGGAGGGGACAAGGATTGGGAATAGTGGTCAAAGATTTTCACTTTAGCTTTAATTTGTTTAAAAGGATGCAATTTAAAAATAATGAAAATACAAAGAACTTTCCAAGGCCACTTTTTTTGCCACTGCTGACCCACCATCCCTTTCTCCAGAAATAGAACCCAACTCTTCCTTTGGGGGCTTCGGCCTACCACCCCTGGAGGCATACTTTGGCTGGCTGGGTGTGTTTTTCTGCCACAGTCCTCTCAGTGATCCCTTCCTCCAGCGTGTCCCCTGCAGCAGCCTTCCCTCCCCCCACTAATGTACCTCCCTTGAGGGGGCCTTGAGCCGTGGTGGTCTCAGCCCGCCAGGCCCAGGGGCAGGGCATCAACTGCTCAACCCATAGGCCCTGTTCCAAAGCCACTGCACCAGCTGGACTCCTGGGTGGTTGGGAGAGGCGGCAGAACTGCTTCCTCTTGCCTCATCAGGAGGGAAGCCAAGAGGGGAGGGAGTTCATCTATCCACCTACTACCCAGCAGGAAGGAATAGAGAGAGCACACATTTGCTGACCGCTCTGCAGCCTCCGACATTCCCCTCTTATAGAGGATACTGGCTGAGCCAGCAGGTGTGACTTTCTCAACGACCTCATGGGACCCAAGCCCATATGGCTCCAAGCCTCCGAGAGAGAATCTTGTTCCCTGTCTCTCATCGCCTAACCCCACTTAATGGCTTTGGGGCTGGGGAAGGGGAGGGGATGATGGTATGAGATGGGCACAGGGTGAACACAGGGCACACAATGACCTAGGCTCTGGGCCAGGGTGGGGGCAGGTGGGGACAGTTAGGGGTAAGGGCTGCCCACCTGGAGCCCAGATCAAAGTGCTGATGCAGCTGTAGGCTTGTGCTTCCAGGGCAGCCACCCCCACCCCCAAGGTTGAGCACAAGGTGCACCCTACAGGGGGCCTGGCCTGGTGACCAAGTGACTCTGACTTCTGGGGGATTAGAGGCTGGAATTCAGCTTTCACAAGGAAACACAGGCCCAGATAGGGCGGAACAGTCATGGTTGATTGCACTGAATCAGATGCAGCCCAGGCTGAGTGCAGGCCTACACAGCTGCACAATTTCCAGGGGTGCCATTCTCATCCCTGTTGGTCCTGGGGGTCCAAAAAGAGCTGGGGACATGAATATGTGTATATGTCCTGTGATTCCTGTAGGATCTGGTCAAGGGTTGCTCTCTGGCCAACTCAGCTCCTCCCTCCAGGGTCCTGGTTTGTGGGTAGAGCCAAGGCCAACGCCAAGGAGAAACACCATAGAACCAGCATCCCACCTCCAGCCTAGCCCAGGGTGCTGGCTTCCAGGGTGAAGTTCTGACCAGCTAAAATGGGTGGGGAGGGACAACCCTGTTAGCCCAGGAAACCACCGTCTTCCTGCCCCAGTGCTGAGGGGCTGAAGGAACACAAAGCCCAGATGCAGAACCCAGAACTTGGACCTAGGAACATAGAGTGGAGGGCCTTGAGCTTCCCGCCACAGGCCACACCAGAGTGGGAACCCCAGAAGCAGGAGCCCAGGACCTGAAGTCTAAAGCCAGATCTCAGAGTTTCAGGTCTGGAATCTAGACACCAGAGCATGGACTGCCATCTGAGAGTGTGCTGTCCACAGCCTCATGCTCAGGCCTGGTCCCCAGGGCCAGCATGAAGCCCGGGGCATAGGGCTTGAGAGACATGAGGAAGGGCGCTGTAGGGGAAGAGGTGATTTCTGAGAAGAGTCTAAAGCCGCCTCAGCTCTTTTGGCCACAGACTTTGCCCTCCTCAATCAATGAGTGACATGCTCCTGAGCCACCAGGATTAATCATTTCACAGGGCACTATCCCCCAAACAGAGACAAGACATTCTCAAGTCAGCTGCCCATGCCCTGCCCCACAGGCTCTAATGTACCCTGGGAAAATGGGGCTTGGGTAAAACAATGTCTCAGGGCCCTGACTGCTCTGAATCAGGTAGCTCAGATTGAAGTCCAGGCTCTCCAAGAGAGGACAACATCAAGAGGGCCAGGGGAGGGATCATTCTGTTCCCCAAAGGGAAGTGGCAGGTGGCCCCTACTATATCATCCACCCCACGGGTAGGAACTGGTTTCCTGTCCACAGAGAGGAGGCATCCATGTGTATGCCACGCACACTCACAGCTTGTCCACGAGCAACTCTGCTGGCCTGACTGCCGGAACAGGATGTTCCCTGAGGTATTCCCAATGCATAGCGCTGTGCTGACTTGGTGGGGCTTATATGCTGGTTGAATAAATAAACATGTTGGTGAGAAGAGACAAGAGCTCTCAAACTGTGCTCATG